TGGAAAAATGTATGTTTAAGGGGGGAAACAGAGATGGATAGGGTGGAAGGGTGGAAGATAAGAATGTATAAAAATCATAGAAAAAATAAATTAATTAAAACAAATTCCCAAGCCTAAGTTCTACATTTTATTTCCTAATTCCAGACTAGAAATAATACTCTCACAAGTTTTGGAGAAAGTAACTGATAAGCATTACTATTAGTTCCATCATGTGTTTTAATATGTGATGAAAAATTCATGCCAAAACAGAGCAACCATACTGTATTTTGAGGCATGATAGTAGCATGCTAATTTAAGAAATACATTAGTCAGGGAATTTCAGGCAGGAGATTTGCTTATTATTGAAATTAGGCCACATTCATATTACTCTACCTAAATTGGTAATTTCTCTAATCTGTAACCAAAGCCTGAACAGTTCAAGAGGGGCTATTCCTTTTAGAGTGGAAATGTGTGTAATGACCAAACTTCAAGAGACATGTTGAGAAAAGCAAATTTCTTTCTATCCTAGGTTCTCTGGTAACTACTCCCACTTCTTAGAGTTAACCAATGTTCTCCCACATGTCTTTCAGATTCTTTAATGCATATACAAACATGGTGTATGTATAGGTATATATCTCCATGGTATATGTGCATTGGAGGGGGCATATAAACATAATGAAAAGAACTTGTAGAGTGGTTTTATAATTTGTCCTAAAATTATAATATTCTTATTTTCAGTAATCTAATTTCTTTCTATTCTCTTCATTAGTTGTCTTCTAGTTTACTCATATTTCTAGTTTTTTTTTTTTTTATTTTCAGTATATAGTGAAGGACAAACAACTTTTCCTTAATAGAATATCATCTTGTAATTTGGCTTAGTTCTAGTCTACTTGAAATGACTACTGCTTCCATAATTTTAAAATGGTGTTTCAAAAAATCATATGCTGCATTTATATACTATATATTTTCATACTGAAATTTATAAATATCTGAAAAGAAAGTGTTTTATATATTTTTAACAATTAATCTGATATGTTTCAACATTGACATTATTGCATTGGGTCCCTAATTGAGAGAGATATCATAGAAGTTGAAATTCACATTTGAACTTCAACTGCATTGAGATATAGAATATTCAAGAGACAAAGCTTGGAACCGTTGGCTTTATGGAAGAGGATCAATTCAGCTCTAACTATATATGAAATATTTCTTTAGCTACTAACTCATTGGAAATTGCAGAAAGCTATACTGAAACTGAATGCAAATGTAAGTATTAATGTCACACATCACACTTTTAAACATAGATATCTAGACATGAGAAAAATTAGTTTGCATGACATGCACAAAAATAAGGAATGAATATTACTCCCTAATATTTTCTATACTAACTCCTATTCCTAAAATTGCTATAGTGAAATATGTTTGTTTACACTGGAATGAGATTCAGGATTTAACATGAAGTTAATTTTATTTTATCTTTTTTTAAGTTAATTTTATTATCAAAGAAAATTGTATTAAAATAAATAATGGCTTTGTTTCCAAAGAAGAGAAGCAGACTAGTGCATATTATCCATGTTTAACATTTTATTAAAAGCTAATGCTAAATGTGGTATCTTCAAGGTACTACAATAGCCACAAAGGCAAATGTGATTGGGTGATGGAACAGCACCATGACAAATCAAATGAAATGAGACAAATCACCAAAATGGAGGAAAGAAGCATCTCTGTTGATACAGAATCAACATTTGCAACGGTCTAAGGACAAGGTAATTGTGAATGGGCATACTTGTGTTTTCATCTATACGGGGAAATTTGAAAATTTAAGTTTTGACAGGATCTGATTCGCATCTCTATGGATCTTACAGATAGAATTCAATTGGCAACTCTGACTCATGATCTTGTTTATACACTTGTGCCTCAGCACATCAGAAAAGCTATTTTTTTCCTATAGTTTCTAAGAATGTCTCTCAATTACAGGGCCTAAGACTGAATCATTTCTGGTTTCTGTTACCAGCTTACATCTATCTTCTTTTGTATATGTATGACTATTGTGACATCTTTCAGAGTGCTTCAGGAACATGGAATAGACATACAATATTTTACTGACTTGAAAGTTCACTGGGAAAAAAAAAAAACTTTCCAGTAGGAAAACATGATGCATTCACTTTGGTTTTCCTCTTTTCAATGCAGAAGAGCAAGGAAGGCAGAGCAAACTCCTAAGATTTCTTAAGGCTCATAGAGTAGCCATTTTTCTTACCTTAGCAGCCCACATTTGGTTTCAGCATTCTTTCTTTTGGAATAAAAAAAAAGTTTTCTCTCTTTTTTCTTAATCACTGTTATTGTCAATAGCAACATTATCATCATCATCATGTTTATTATTATCACAACCAATTTACTTTACAAGACTCACTATTTTATATGTAAGAACATCTCTTAATTGATTATCATTTGTACATACTATATAAAATTTCTTGCTCATATAGTAACAGGCAAATATAAACACTATAGTTTTCTTCCTGGGTTCTTGATACTCCAAGTTACCCATTATATCTCAGTTTTAATTACTTTCTCTCTGGTAAGTTAATATTTTTTTTTTCAATGAGTCTACTGCTTTCCAAATTCCTACCCCCAAGATCTACTGATTTAATTAGAAGCAATAATTTTCATAAATTAATATGCATTTATTTCTCTCATTTCTTATTTTCTTATTTCACTAAAAAATGAAGAGTTCTTTGCCTTACATCACCACGAAGTCATGTGTGTATATGTAAAATAAGATACCATCCTGCCTCCTTAGTACAGTGTAGGGTAGATTAGCAATCCAAAGTATGCATAGTATTTTATTAGACATATAATGTTCCATTAGAATGCCAAGGGTAGGAAATTGTTTTAGTTTGAAATATTATAGGATCATTTACATTGAAATATGAAGCTCTCTAGAATAAAGAGCATCTTGGGAGATGTCAAGTAATTGACCTGTTCTGATATAATTAGTATATGTAAATAAGGTTGCAAAGGAATAATACTGTTTATTGTAGTAGAGGGTTAGAGTGTCCCAGTGACATTCATTTGCTTTAGAACCAAAAGTAATATGTTACTTATTTATCTTTTGTAAGCCCTTTAAAACTCCTGTATTTTCCCTTACATATTTTCTATATCACAAAAGGGTGATTTTGCTCTGCTGATGTCAATCTTCTCATTCATTTATCTTGTAAAACCATAAGTACCATTTATAAAGTGACATCCACAGAAGAAACAGAGGAGGAAAAATCTTGTGAAAATGATAGTTCATCCTATATACATATTAAAATATGAAGTGGTCACATGAATGCTTAGTTTACTGCTATTTGACAGTGATAAGCAATCACTGTTATCAGGCAGATACTTATGCATTTGAACAGTTTTCCTTATCTGGAAGAAATGAGGCTTTGTATGAATGGCTTAGTGGAAAACTGAACCTCCTTTGAAGGACCTGATGGCACTTAATTTATTTCAAATACTATAATTATTCATGTAACATCTTCTTTTTCCATTGAATGCTTTTGTGTATGCACCCATTTCTTCTCTCAGTTTTCCAAATCACCAAGCAATCACTATTGGGTATATGTATGTTTTTGTCTCTAAATATATGAGTGACCAATCTTATTCAAAGTTGACTCTTGGCTTGCTACTCCTATATATCCATTTCAAATATTGAGCTCCTGAGCAGTGGCCACAAAATTGTAGACAAGTGAATGAATTTAAAGGTTTTCTTCAGGAAAACTGTATTTAGCTGTCTTTTTTAGCAACATTTTCAATTAAAAATATATTTGTTTTGCCAGAATTATGATATACAACTTTATGAAATATGCTTAAAACTGGGTAATTTCAGAGGCATTACATTTAGGGAAGAAGTAAATTTAGAATTTAGTTTTCATGCTCACATTTACCAATAATAGAAATCAAAACTCAAGGAAAGTAATGTAATTAAATTATTGATGAGCAAAACCAAACTGATGCATGAATTACTACATAATAGTTAGATTAAAAGTCTCCCCTTTTATAAAATATTACAAACACTTAATCATGCATGATGTTGTTACACTCAATATTTTAGAAAAGACATTTGACCTTTAAAATATGTATTAAAACAGAAACATTAGAACAATTCAGTTCTAACAATAATCGCTTTTTCCCTTAATATAGTTTTTTTTCTGGTTCAGAGTAAAATGAAACCAACTGGATAAATCTATCACTTCTACAACTATTAACTGTATTTTGTAATGTCACACAAACAAAAAAAATTAATCTTCTCTTTTCTTCCACTTGAACAAAGAAAGCATCTGTCATCTCTGACAGGTGTAGCATAGATTCCTATAACCTTTCTTATTGTTAATTTCAGGCAAATAGTTTTAAATTAGCAATGGGAATACTTAAGTAACTTGGAATTGAAGATATATGATATATTAAATTAAAGCCTCATCTCACAGAATCTTAAAGTGAAAGAGGTCTGAGAGTATGCAAAATAGCATGTAGTATATTAAAATGTAAATTTTACTTTGATATAGATACTTAAAACTACTTAATATTTTTGTATAACCATTGAATTTTATGTGTTTCCTCACAGGTTTTCATGCAGTCAAAGTCACTTGCTTTGTCCTCACTTTCAGCCTCAGTCCTACTTAAGAAAATTAGGGATCGTGACAACAATCTCTGCCAGTAGGATTACTTGTAGAACAGCATAAAAACATGGGAAGTTTTTGAACATGTGAAGTACTAAGTAAAATTTTAGATGTTTAAGTCTAGAGATAACTCATTTTTGAGACATTGTTTCTCCGTGTAACAGCCTTGGCTGTCCTGGATTTCACTTTGTAGGCCATGCTGGCCAGGCTAGAGATAACTTTTAAAAAGACCAAAGTAAAACAAATGACATACTTCGCAAGTCTCTTTTATAATAAGCCTAAAAATGTTTCTCAATGTAAAGTATTCTGACACCTGAAACATTCCACAAAGCTGTAATGTAAGTTTTCAATGAAACCTACCTTTAAAATTTGGCCTGATTCTTGCATCATATCCTGATGTCCTTCCCATTAATTTATCCAAGAAATCTGAAGGAGATAGGGTCTGCGAAGGATGTTTTCCAGACCTGGAGTCATGGTCTTTGCAGAAAGCTTCCCTAAACACATTATGAACTTTTAAAGCAAGAATTACATTTTCATCCTCTGAGCACTAATTCAGAACATTTGAACCACATTATGGCAAAGATGTTTAATATATTAACAAGGAGAAAAATTTGAAGTCTTTGATCAACTTCTGAACTGTACATTCTCTAAAGTTAACTTTGACTGATGAGAAGGTTAATTCTTGAGTAATGTACTGAAGTTTCTAAACTTTAATTCTATTTTGATTAAGATGGGATAATGTATAGACTCAGGTTCCAGATTTTATGGGTATACAAATGTTATGTGTTTTTAAAATTAGCAGAGAACTAAAGACAGTTTGTGAAATGTATGTGATAATGTGAAATCATTTCCTCATGATTATAAAAATTATTTCATTTCAGCTTTAACTGTATCTTCTATCCATTATGAGAAATGTATAATAATAAGATGGACTAAATTAATTATTGTATGCATATTTTTGCACTTACTACTATTCTTTTGCATCTATCATATATTAGTCTTTTCCAATGTGTTTTCTAAAAAAAAAACCTTCACTTGAAATTTCATCACCATTTTAAAATAGATCAATAATGTGTATGTTAAATTCAACTGTTTTATCAGTTCTTATTACTATATGAACATATTAATTGTTGCATCTCCAATAAAGCATGAATGGAAAACCACTTCTACACCAGTTTATCTTTTACATTATCAAAACCAGTAAAGGGTGATTGAAAAAGATCCTCAGGTATTCATATCCATATTAGAAGTCATAAAGAACATATAAAATGGCAACTTTGATTTGTAATAAAGTGAATTCTTTCTCAATACATTGATAGTTGACTGATTGTCATGAAGGTATTTGTGTGTATATATGTGTGTGTGAATTTATTTGAAATAACTTGTTATTCTGCCATTGAGATAATACAACACTCATGCCAGCAAATCAGAAGCATTAATTATAAGTTTAAAGATTTTACGAACATTTTGTAAGAGTTAAAAATTGGTACAGTCATCCAGAAATACTTACATTGTCATATGCAGATTCATCTGGTTAATAAGTATTATATTTTATGATGGTGGTTGGAGTGAGGCCAATTATGATGATGGTAATGATGGTGATGATGATGGTGATGACTCTAATAAAAATCCAGCCTACACATCTTTCTTAATGATAGTAAGAGATGTAAACCTGAAAGGAACATAGTGGGTTTTCCCGGTACTCATATCATTTTTTCTATGTGTTTAATTTCCCCTGGTTCTATGAAAAAAATATGACAAAATCTTGTAAAACATAAAATGTCTTATATTTTTGTTTCAATAGAATTTTTATGTCTAGGCTGTCTTAGATCTTATGCCTTAACAGGCTATTTCATTCACTGGCAATAAAATTGATATTTTGAAGTGTCAATTTGTTTTACAATTAGTAAATTATTTGAAAATAGAAGCATGCAAATAGTGACTTCTCATTTGTTTTAGTTATACACACCCTGTTTCTCATAGAGGCATAAATGCAAAGATGGCATTTTAATTAAATATGCAATCAATTCTTAAATGGACTGAACAGTAGGATCGAGTTGTATAAAGATATTTGCTACTTGAAAATATTTCCTAAACCATAGATTTCACTGTATACTCCTAGTTGGTGAAATATAACAGAAGTCCCAAGTTGCCTGAGAATCAGGGTTATTATTTATTTTATTTAAACTAATCCAATCACTTCCATCATATGAAAAAAATAACATTGCATCCAATAATTCCTTTAAATGACTTCAAGAAGAATTTCAAAGCAAAAGATCACCTTATACAGACATTTAAAGAGCACACAACTCACTAGTCTAATCTTAATATCACATTGACTTTCACAAAATGTGTGTTGAAATGCAGAGTGCAGCTATGCCACATTAAACTTGCTTTTGTGAACATTTGCCTCCCTCCCACCATAATTAAGATTTTTAAATGAACAAAAGAAACCAAACTCTCCTCTACAACATTAAAACAGTATGATGCAGGGAACAAACAAACAGAGAATTGCATACTTTCTCTTTCAAACAGTTTTCAGGTGGAAAACATCAGCATGCAAAATCATTTTACCTACCTGACGAGGTTTGTCCCTAAGAAAAATGCAAACAAGGCTGTCAAAATGTTCACTAGCTGCCGGTTCATTCCTGTGTCTGTGATCCTTGTAGAAAATATCCCGAAATGATTCCAGAAAGCAGACTAGGACAAAGTGTCTATTTATTGTCCAGATTCAAAATTTGGCAGGGATCTAGTTTCCTTGAAAATCAAAAAGAGATTTGGGGTTGTACAGTTTGCTGAGAAAAAACAAAAAGTGCCAGTTCTGGGCATCATGGTCAGGTCAAACCGAGGCTCGGGACCATCAGTTAGCTCAGGAGAGACAAAGCCTCAGAACTGATGAATCCCCTAGCTGCTTTTCCTGAATAATAAAAATGCTGCTACCTTAATCGCATCACCATGCAAAGGGGGTTGGTGACAATGCCATGCAGGAAGTCAGGCTGCTGTGGCTTTTGTTTTATATCTTTTCTATTCAGCAATGCCCCTTTCTTTAGGGAATGCTCTCTTTTTAAAAGAAGTTGTAAATGAGGGAGAAAAAGGGTCTCTGTGGGTTGGAGTGTTTGGGGGAAAGAGGGAAAAATTACTGAGATCCTGTGCTGGAATGAGGGCTATAGAAAGATACGGAGACGTGATCTTACCCAGCCTATAAATTTCAGCACTCGGACAGCTCCTAGCTCTGAAATGCGCATGTTTCCTTTTTCAGTAGCTTGGGGCGGGGGTCGGAGAGAGGCATTTGAGAGGAGATGCGCCTGCTATTGAAATGTAAAGAGTGACTGGTCCTTTGATGAGGGGGGCTACTGAAAGGGGTACGATGACGACGAGCGTCCGGGTAGAGGGAAAGGTGATAGAGTCTAGGGTCTGAGCTCCTAGAAATGGTAGTCTGCCTCTGGGTAGGCGGGATAGGAGTTTGAAGCAGAAGACACCACGGCTTAAGCGTCAGAAAAGTAAACTAGGACAACATGAAACAAGATCCAGAGTGCTGAAATGATGTTGGGATTCGAAAAGTCAACATCTGGTCAGTGGAAGCCTGCATAAAAGAAAAGTCCTGTGGTGACGTGGAGGGTCCATTTCCTTGGCATAAAGAAGCTTTCGTGCAAGAAAAATGAAAACAGAGAGGAAAAGAGAGAGAGTTTCACGGGGATCAGCAATCAAATTTAGAATATCTGTATGCCTTTCTCGACTCTTGAGCGTTTTGTTTTGATTTCAGTCTCTTGTTCCCAGAGGTTCTATCTCCCTACTTGGGAAAGTTCGCTCTACTGTTCCCAGATAAAATACTTAACCGATAATAAAAAGACAACGAGCCAGCAGAGGGCAGTAGTAATCTTTTCCTGCTCTGGTTAAGGTTTGAACAATGCTCCATGACAGAAATGGAGCAAAGAATAGTGAGACTGGGGGTTGAGTTTCCCCTCCACATTATAGGAGTTAGTCATCAAGAAGGGTCGAGTAATTAAGCGGTGCTCTTCTCATATATTGGCTAAAGAGAATGAAAATAATAAAAGTTTGGAAATCAAGTACAAAAGAATATCAGGTAACTTGCTATCTCCAGTGAAATTTATAGAAACTGTTGATAAAAAGAGGAAGGGGAAATAGTTGAACAATAGTAACTGGAAGCGTTAGAATATGTGCATCATACCATGAACTGGGGGGGGGGGGCGGACTTGATTTTAGTTCTTGAAATCTAATCCCTTAAGCACTTTGGCACTCCACCACAGGGTTTGCTTGATTTGAAAATATACTGTTGTCATTAAATGTATTCCATAAATGGCAAGTTTCTCTCAGACTGGCTTAAAATTAAGAGCAAAGTAACAAAGAATCCTATGCTTTTTCAAAGATAGATTCTGATTTTTAGAATCTAAGTTATTTACACGCTTTAATGTAAAACACAGGAAAATTTCAATAAAATGCAAATTATAACATTGTAGGCCTGCTTCAGGACCTGATATTCTGCATTTCTAACAAGTTCTTATTAGCAAAGGGTGATGCTTCTGGTTCACAGCCATGAACTGAGAGGCAAGGCTCCAAATGACCTTTCAACAGGGTTTTACACTACCCAGAGAGTGAGACTTGCTGAGCTTTTTCTGAGATAGAATGCATCAGTGTCTATGCATTCTTTTTACATTCAAAATCATCCCACACATTTGTTTTCATAATTCTTAAACCTAGAAGAAAATGATTCATTTTAAACAAAAATCTATATGGTGCTGTGATGAGAAATACCTGTATTCTAGCTTCAAATCTGTTCACTCTCAAGTGTATACACATAGAAACTCTAGACCTTACTGTTTCCCTGAAGGCCTGATACTTCAGCCAAAGTAAAAATGAATTCCCAGAAATGTATTCCTTCAAATGATTCTATATAGAAAAATCATATATGAGGGGTGTGTGTGTGTGTGTGTGTGTGTGTGTGTGTGTGTGTGTTTAAGAACATTTCCAAACTAGAGATAAAGTGAAAAAAGCAATTTGTCCCAAATATAATATTCTAATGATACCCAGTGTAAAAAAAATAAATTTAATTCTTTCTTTCGACACACAGAAGCACATTATGTACCAGGAAGTGGTAATATAATGAGTTGTATCAGAGAGACACTCATCTATTAACACAAAATTGTGACACCATATTATTTTAGATCTGGAAAATAATTTAGAAAAGGCAAAGTTTATCCTTTTTTCATTTTACTTCTCAACTTTCCCCGATTTGTATTCCACCTCGTTCAAATTACAGAAAGAACTCTGTTCAAATTTGCCAATTAATTTCTTGTATCTGAGGCCAAAAGATATTTATCCACCTTAATTTTACTTGACATTTCCATGATATGTAACATCACTGTTTTTTTCTCATTTCAAAAAGTGTTTTCCTTTTGGGACACAGTGAACTGCTAAATTACTTTCTATTCCATCTTCTTGCCAGACATACCCTCTAATACATGGCCTATAAAAGTGTGATTTCCTAAAGTCTATATTCTAGGACATTACTTCTCATACTAAATTATGTTAGACAATATTTTGATACTATAACTTCCATTGTCTTTTTCTGTAAATTACACAAATGCACACACACACACACACACACACACACACACACACACACACACACACACCATAGTCATCCATCTGCTTCTTTGATAAGTTCTGTTTCATATCTCTAAATGTCTTCAAACTCCTGTCCTGGTAAAATAAACTCTTACAAAGCTCCCCTGATCCTATTCTACAGTATATACTCCACACCAACAAATGGACAATGCACACTCTCTGGCATGCCCTTCCATCAATTTCCAGATGAAGTTTTCACAAAGCCCCACAAATTTGCATTCTATTTCTGAACTCTACCCATTTTTCTCCATCTTAATTTCTCTGACTCCAGTTAAAAGATTCTTCTGCTGCTGTGTTAATCACCTTCCTAGTCTACTAGAACCAACCGTGTCATGTAATATGCTACAACAAGCAGAAGGATCAAATTAAAATTTGATCACAATTGCCTCTGATTAATGATATGGTTCTCTACTGATCTTTGGATAAAACAAAAAAAATTACTTAATATGGTTTAAAATACCCTCATAATCTGGCTAAATTTATATTGTCCCTCATTTTTTCCCTTTTTCAGCCTATCCCTTCAAACCATGTTTAATTTCTTATGCTTGCTAAAGTACTTAATCTCATGCAATGTTAAAATACATTCAGAGATTCTTTCTTCAAGAGGGTCTTCCCTAACATGTACAACTCTATCAGCTATCCCTGCTGTGATGAGTTTTAACTCTGATTTATAAGCATGTTACCATTTTTTTAAATACTTGGGTATGTTACTTAGTGTTATACATTGGGTGTGGATTGTCAATCAAATTAAAAAATTGATGGTAGTATGATTATGTTATGTTCAGAGATAGAGTTTGGGGAACTCTATTATGAGGATCATGTGGTCTTAAATTGGAACTTAAAGCATGAGGGTATCTTATTGAAAAGTGATAGAAACTGTAAGAAGTGGTTCCTAGTTGGAGGAAATAGGTCATTGGAAGTGTATCCTTGCTGGGTATACCTTCTCTCCTGTTCTTTGTTTGCTCTTATTGTGGTTGCCATAGTGTAAGAAGATTTACTGCATCATATACTCTACACCATGATGTTTTACCTCAACACGACTCCAGAGGTAAGGCCAAGCAACAATTGGCTAAAATTTCTGAAACAATTAACCAAAAAGAATCTTTTATTCTTTTTTGACTTGAATCTCCCAGGCATTTTTCACAGTGACTAATATAAGCTTTACAATGATAGGAGTCAGTGTATTATCGCACTCCCATATATTCAATGATACTGACAATAGGTATAATATAATATTGATGGTAAATAAGATGCAATTTTAAATGTCTCCACAGAAATGCTAACTAATTGAAACAATATAAATAATTATATATGAACCACAAATACGTCTACAAAATTAGTTATTATAATGAAAGATTTGAGATTATGATCATTTGAAAAGAAATCAAACCCAAAGTTTGTAACACAAATAAAAAACGAAGTAGAGGATAATTGATCTAACTTACCTTAATCATGTTGTACTTCTAAAATTCATTGGTTGTGTGACTGTAGAAAAGTCATACAATCCCTCTGAGCATCATTCTCATACATGTAAAACATGTAGATAATATCTTCACTTCAAATATTTCTATGTAGAACACTCTTCAAAGTCACAGGTAATCATTTCTAAGCAAGTGTTTTAGGTTCTTATTCTCAGTTCCTGGCATCAACTGGCTATTAAACTTTAAGGTTTTACTTTCTTCCTCAGATAATTCTACTTACAAGGACAGTAAAACTCCTACACTTCCAACTTACCAAATCAAAACTGGTCACCCATGCGTCACCCTCATTCTCTACTTTTCTTGTCGGTAAAGTGAGAATATTTGATCTACCATATAATGCTGTAAAGATAAACACACAATGATCAATCCATATCATTCTATATCTAAATATATTTAAATATATATACACATATATAAGGAAGAAATATTTTAGATGAATATTGGTATCCTCTACTAATACCAAAGTCTTTTAAAATGTCTAATAGATAGAGAACTTTAAACTTTTCAAAAACTACTCACACTCAGGGGAAGAACAATAATGGATACCCACATTTTTCCAAAGAAGAATGTAATTTCATTAATTTTCCTACCATTCATGATTAAGTGACAAAAAATGCTTCCTATAGTTATTAGCAAAGTGAACAGAATTGATTTTATCATGTGTGATTGATACTATTCTTCCAGTCACTGGAAGCACACTGTATGCCTACAACTATTTTTAATAACCATATCATGATGCTACTAGAGTTTGATCACCATTATATTAAGTTATATACACAAATGTTGATAATTAATAATCAATATTAGAAGTCCCAGAGACAATATCTCAAATGAAAAGCCAGGCCAGGGAGATGTCTAATACATACATGTCCTTCATCAGGACAGTAAGCCATCTTACTGTTCCTTCTACTCTAAAAGAATATGTTGATGTTATAAAGGAACATATTAGTTTAAGAAAATGCTGATGTTATAAAGGAACATATTAGTTTACAATTAATGCACAGAGATTCTGAGGAAAATTTGAACTAAAATATCACAAAGTTATCTTATAAAATCTTTAATTGATTTAGGTTTCTTCTTCACAAAGAATAATAGAGGTAACTTCAGTTTAATAAAATAATCCTCTTGAATTG